GAAGACTAGGAGCTTGATTTTAGACAGATTTAGTTTGAGGAAGTGAAGTTACATCCAGTCCGATATGTCGCTCAGTAGGTGTGTGATTCGGGCGGAGACTGAAGCGGTGAGGTGAGGGGTAGAGAGATAGATTTGTGTGTCGTCGGCATAGAGATGTTAGTTGAAGCCGTGAGAGTGTATCAATTGGCCCAGGGAGGAGGTGTAGATGGAGAAGAGAAGGGGTCCTTTGACAGAACCTTGAGGGACCCCAACAGAGAGGGGGAGTGAAGAGGAGGTGGCAGCGTTATAGGTAACACTGAAGGAGCGTTGTGATAGATAGGAAGAGAGCCAGGAGAGAGCGGAGTCTCTGAGGCCAAGAGAGTGTAGTTGTATGAGGAGGAGGGGGTGGTCAACCGTGTCAAAAGCCGCAGAGATATAATAGGTCTTCTTTTGCAGAGTCCTGTCATTTGAATATCTTTAGGTAGCTGATTGTGTCTCTTTTAATGTGACTGGTGCCCAAATTGGCTAACAATGAAACAAAGAAGGGAAAAGAGCCAAAATTTTCCAGAAGTAGTTGGCACTACTTCAGCTGTCTAAATTCCCAAGATCTCCTAGTTATTTTGACACACTGAATGTCACCTCTACCTATTATTTTTTCCATGATAGGCTATGTTTGAATGTTTGACCATTTACCATTAACAATAGGCTCGTTTCAAGATACATTTTGAAACTCTAAGAAAGTGTGGAAGTTCCCGGACACCCCATGCAAGGTATTACACAAGGTTTTTTTTTTGCTAGGAATAAAAGAACTTATTACTATTTAAAAATAATATGTTTTTATTTAACTTAAGCTACCTCAATATGGTTTCTATTATTCCTATTTTTTTTTTTTTTTTTTAAATGGAATACTGAGGGAATTAAAGAATTGCGTTCGCATTCTAGCTTATTAGCAGATAAAGGTTATTGCATAAATTACTGTTCTGTGGACACGTTTAAAGGCTCTTTTTTTTTTTTCCTGGAGAATTAGTGAACAAAAAAAAAGGGCTTGTTCAACCAATGAGTAAAAATAAAAATCCACAAAACGGAAAAAGCAAATGTAATTAGTCAAACCTTGACTCCAGCGATAAATCATAAAGTATTATACATTTTTAACTGTGGAAACGCTCGTAGGCAAGACCCATAAAACAATAATTCACAGGTTACTTTATCTGCTTAAGTTATTGATTTCTCTTAACTGTTTATTTCCAAAATAAAGAAAAAACAAAACGTCTTGAGGAATTAAGTAGAATTAGCACTAGGTAAAAAGAATGTAAGACAATAAATCTTGCCTAACTTTTTTTTTCTTTACTGTTAAGGAGCAGAGAGCGATAGGCCTGTACAAGAGTGCTCCTGTACTTTGCAGCTGCTCAGGTAAAAAGAAAATACAATTAGTTACTAAAAAGAAAAACACACTTTGAAGTGGAGACTTTCTAGGTACAAAAGTACACAATACCCCCAGTCATGAGGGATTTCATTCAAAATAATGGATTCCTAAAATAACTGACCGTGGAAGAGTAACAACAGAAAAGATAGTCCATTGAATTTTAATTTTCTTTATTTCTTTTTGTTTAACCTTTTTATATGAGTATATATATATATATATATATATATATATTTATTATCCCAAGAATTTTTAAATTCACTTACTGTTGACCAGGGGCGGACTGACAACTCATGGGGCCCCTGGGCAATAGGGGATCATGGGGCCCCTGTGTCCTTGCCCAAACTCAAAAAAGCCTATGAAAAAGGTACCAGGGGCATCTCATGGGGCCCCCTACTGACCCCGGGTCCTCGGGCAGCGCTCGAGTTTCCAAATGGTCAGTCCGCCCCTGCTGTTGACTGACTCATTACCTCTGCTGGAAATCTATTCCAAGTATCCACTACTCCTACCTCCTGAAATACTACCTTCTAAGGTTCATTTTGAACTTTCCTTCTGTCCCTGTGTCCTTGATCTTAGCTTCATGTCGAAATGACTGCCATCCTGAACCTTATTCACACCCTATATTACATTTAAAGATTTAATTCATGCTCCCCTCTTTCCATTGTTTCTTTGAGGCTTTATATATTAAGTTCCTTGAGTCTCTCCTTGTGTTTTATCCCCCAGACCCTTCACCATTTTTGTTGCCTGTCTCTGGTCTCGACTTTCATAAATAGTATTGGGTCCAAGGCTCCTGTTGTCTAAAACAGCAGTCTCCAAACTATGGTTCACGGGCCAGATATGGCCCTTTACTTGCCTTTATCCAGCCCCCGGGGCATCATTCCTACCATTGATATGAGGCACCATTACTTCCACTGACACCAACAGTGGGGCATAATTCCTCCCACTCCCACCATTGGTGAGGCACTATTATTTCCACCAACAACAATAATGGGACATAACTTCTCCCCTTTATTCCAATGATGGGGCACTATTCCTACCGCTGATTCCAACGATGCGACTCTATTCTTCCCACTGACACTGATGATGAAACACTATTTCTCCAATTATGGGGCACTATTCCTTCCACTGATACCAATGATAGGGCACTATTCCTCCCACTGATACCAATGATGGGTCACTATTCCTCCCACTGACACCAATCATGGGGCACTATTCCTCCCACTGATACCAATGATGGGACACTATTCCTCCCACTGATACCAATGATGGGGCACTATTTCTCTCACTGACACCAATGATGGGGCACTATTCCTCTCACTGACACCAATGATGGGGCACTATTCCTACCACTGACACCAATGATGGGGCACTATTTCTCTCACTGATACCAATGATGAGGCACTATTCCTCCCACTGATACCAATGATGGGGCACTATTCCTCCCACTGATACCAATGATGGGGCACTATTCCTCCCACTGATACCAAAGATGAAGAATTACTGCTTCCGCTAATACTAATGATGGGGCAGTATTTCTGTTCCCTTCGATCATAGACGCCATGTCATTTTCTTACTCTCGCTGACCAACAAGCCTGGGGCATTGTTACTCCCGCTTACACCAAGGCATTTTCTACTCCCACTGATTACAGTCCTGCCCCCCTAAAGTCCAAAGGAATACAAACTGGCTCTTTGTTTAGAAAGTTTGGAGACCCCTGTTCTAGAGTCAACTAATTATTATATACTTAATCATCCCCAAACACTAATGAAACCTAATTATTGTGACTACAATAGATGTATTCAGTTATGTTTTTGTGACTCACTGATGAGTATGGATTAGGTACGTTTGGATCTGAACCCGCCTGAGTTATCCCTCCAGGAACCTGTAACTAAGGACTGCCAATCATAGGTGGCCTTGGCTGCTTAAAATTGATGGTCCACAGCAACATCTTCCTGGTGGGACAGCTCAAGTGGGTTAGGACTAGGATCCAAAAGCACCTAAGCTCATCCCTGCTGATAAGGCTTTTACAATAAACAATGGACCCATTCTCTAGTATTATTATAACCCAAATGAATAAATGATGCATGGAAAACTCTTCCAGTAGAGGTAGCAAGTCATTCGAGAATTGGACTTGTATACACTGGTGGCAGTGATACAATTGATACCAATGATGGAGCACTATTCCTCCCACTGATACCAATGCTGGGACACTATTCCTCCCACTGATATCAATGATGGGGCACTATTTCTCTCACTGACACCAATGATGGGGCACTGTTCCTCCTACTGATACCAATGATGGGGCACTGTTCCTCCTACTGATACCAATGATGGGGCACTATTCCTCTCACTGACACCAATGATGGGGCACTATTCCTCCCACTGACACCAATGATGGGGCACTATTCCTCCCACTGATACCAAAGATGAAGAATTACTGCTTCCGCTAATACTAATGATGGGGCACTATTTCTGTTCCCTTCGATCATAGACGCCATGTAATTTTCTTACTCCCACTGACCAACAAGCCTGGGGCATTGTTACTCCCGCTTACACCAAGGCATTTTCTACTCTCACTTATTACAGTCCTGCCCCCCTAAAGTCCAAAGAAATACAAACTGGCTCTTTGTTTAGAAAGTTTGGAGACCCCTGTTCTAGAGTCAACTAATTATTATATACTTAACCATCCCCAACCACTAATGAAACCTAATTATTGTGACTACTATAGATGTATTCAGTTATGTTGTTGTGACTCACTGATGAGTATGGATTAGGTGCGTTTGGATCTGAACCCGCCTGAGTTATCCCTCCAGGAACCTGTCACTAAGGACTGCCAATCATAGGTGGCCTTGGCTGCTTAAAATTGATGGTCCACAGCGACATCTTCCTGGTGGGACAGCTCAAGTGGGTTAGGACTAGGATCCAAAAGCACCTAAGCTCATCCCTGCTGATAAGGCTTTTACAATAAACAATGGACCCATTCTCTAGTATTAATATAACCCAAACGAGTAAATGATGCATGGAAAACTCTTCCAGTAGAGGTAGCCAATCAAAACTGGCGACAGTCTCTACCATCATTCTGAAAAGCAATCCATGGCGGTAGAGCAGCGGCTTCCAGGCATTTCAGAGGTAATACTGCTGCCTCGTAAATGCCAGTTTTGTTGTTTGTTTTTTCTTTTTGAGCCTAAGGGGGCTTTGCATTTACATTCTGTGGCTCACCTGTTGGCCCGTTGCGGCATGGTCCCATTGACTTAAATGGGTGAGTCTGACAAGAGGTGCTGTAAATCCTCAGGACAAAAAGTGCTACAGAAATATTACCGTATTTTTCGCTCCATAAGACACACTTTTTTCCCCCCAAAAAAGGGGGGAAAATGTCAGTGCGTCTTATGGAGCGAATATAAAGCGGCCGGTCTGGTATTTTTGCGGCCACCATGTCAGAATACCGGGCCGGCCGCTCAGCTGTTCTCTCCTGCAGGGCCTTACCTGTTCCTTGCTCCAGCGCAGCACAGTCTTCCCGCGGCGGCTTCTGTGACAGCCGGGTGCCCACTGCGCATGTGCTGCGCTTTGTGAATGATCCGGTGTCTTCTGGGACACATGACAGGTCCCAGAAGGCGCCGGGCCATTCACAAAGCGCAGCGCTTCTCGCGCATGCGCAGTGGGCACCCGGCTGTCACAGAAGCCGGCCCGGGAAGAAGAGGGAAGGCAACTCCGCGGAAGTGGGAGCGGGTACCTGTCAAATTTAGGTACCCGCTCCCCCTCCCTCCCCAAAGGTCAGCATTCTCTGGTCATTCCCTGCACTGTCTGCAGTCTCTGGTCATTCCCTGCACTGTCTGCAGTCTCTGGTCATTCCCTGTACTGTCCGCAGTCTCTGGTCATCCCCTGCACTGTGTCCGCGGTCTCTGGTCATCTCCTGCACTGTGTCCGCGGTCTCTGGTCATCTCCTGTACTATGTCCGCGGTCTCTGGTCATCTCCTGTACTATGTCCGCGGTCTCTGGTCATCTCCTGTACTATGTCCGCAGTCTCTGGTGATCTACTGCACTGTGTCCGCAGTCTCTGGTGATCTCCTGCACTGTGTCCGCAGTCTCTGGTGATCTCCTGCACTGTGTCCGCGGTCTCTGGTCATCTCCTGTACTGTGTCCACAGTCTCTGGTGATCTACTGCACTGTGTCCGCAGTCTCTGGTGATCTCCTGTACTGTGTCCGCAGTCTCTGGTGATCTCCTGTACTGTGTCCGCAGTCTCTGGTCATCTCCTGCACTGTGTCCGCAGTCTCTGGTCATCTCCTGCACTGTGTCCGCAGTCTCTGGTCATCTCCTGTACTATGTCCGCAGTCTCTGGTCATCTCCTGTACTGTGTCCGCAGTCTCTGGTGATCTCCTGTACTGTGTCCGCAGTCTCTGCTCATCCCCTGTACTATGTCCGCAGTCTCTTGGTCATCCCCTGTACTTTGTCCGCAGTCTCTGGTCATCTCCTGTACTGTGTCCGCAGTCTCTGGTCATCCCCTGTACTGTGTCTGCAGTCCATTGGTTCAGAATATTTTTTTTTCTCTTGTTTTTCACCTCTAAAACCTAGGTGCGTCTTATGGTCAGGTGCGTCTTATGGAGCGAAAAATACGGTAATTCATAAATAATAATAATAATTAAAAAAATCAAATTAGTTCATTGCAACACGCTGCTCTCTGATCTTTGCTGCATTGAGTTAGGCAAGGGATCTCCAATCCATCACTCCGAACTTTGCTAAAACTCTTTCTGAAAAGTTCCAATGCCATAACTCTCCTCCCCCCTTCCCTTTCCAAGATATGCTAAGGGCATCCATCTGTGCGTGTTTAAGGCTTGTCATCTCTGTTTAATGCGGAATATATTTTTATTGTCTTCCTGTAAGGAGCAACATTGAATCTTTTTGATGAAATATAAAGGCTTCTAGAGCCACAAGTAACAATACATATCTGTGATTTAAAGATTGGAACAGACCAGTGATTGATACTTGCCTGAAATCATTATTTTTTTTTTTTTTTTACACTTCACATACATATGTATTCCAAAGTAGATGTAAGGATTGTAATCGCCAATGGCAGGCCAAAGGGAGTTTAGCGATGTCATTGGCCCTGTTCCCTGGTGACAGCAAGTATTCATATATGGGGATAATCAGCATTTTAGCATGCATTTCCATCCTCCTCCCGTGATAAGGAAAACACTTCCATATGGATTACAGAGAAGTCTTGGCAGGGTCTTAGCATGCCGGTTAAAGGCCAACTTTTTTGTATTTATTTATTTATTTATTTATTTGACATGGAAAGCAGAGTTATGTGATGGATAATATCGAATATATAAGTTTACATGTAAAGTTAAAGAGTATATATATATAATGTAAGGGAGGCAGGATCCACTGGTAATAGAAGCAGCAATCTATACACAGAACAGGGAAACTCAGGATCAAGCCAGGCAGGTTTGTCCTGTACTTTTGTTCAGCAAGGCAGTAAAAAAAACGTGCACATGCGATCAAATACCACCAAAAGAAAGCTCGTAAATTTCATTTGGGTGCAGCGTTGCATGACCGCGCAATTGTCAGTTAAAGTAACGCAGCGCCGTAACGCAAAAAAAATGGCCTGGTTAGGAAAGGGGGATAAATCCTCAGGAGGGCAAGTGGTTAAATTAGCAGCACATTGGTTGATTTCCAAAGCCCAGTTTCTGGAGTCTTCCTTGAAATTGCACGTCTATAACATTTTCAGCACGTTGGTTGATTTCCAAAGCCTAGTTTCTAGAATCTTCCTTGAAATTGCCCATCTATACCATTTTCAGCACATTGGTTGATTTCCAAAGCCCAGTTGCTGGAGTCTTCCTTGAAATTGCCCATCTATACCAGGGGTGGACTGACCATTTGGAAACTCAGGCACTGCCCGAGGGCCCAGGGTCAGTAGGGGACCCCATGAGATGCCCCTGGTACCTTTTTCATAGGCGTTTTTGAGTTTAGGCAAGGACACAGGAGCCCCATGATCCCCTATTGCCCGGGGGCCCCATGAGTTGTCAGTACGCCCCTGGTCTATACCATTTTCAGCACATTGGTTGATTATCAAAGCCCAGTTTCTGCAATCTTCCTTCAAATTGTCCGTCTATACCATTTTCAGCACATTGGTTGATTTCCAAGGCCCAGTTTCTGGAATCTTCCTTGAAATTGCCCGTCTATACCATTTTCAGCACATTGGTCGATTTCCAAAGCCCAGTTTCTGGAATCTTCCTTGAAATTGCCCGTCTATACCATTTTCAGCACATTGGTCGATTTCCAAAGCCCAGTTTTTACAATCTTCCTTGAAATTGCCTGTCTATACCATTTTCAGCACATTGGCCGATTTCCAAGGCCCAGTTTCTGGAATTTTCTTTGAAATTGCCCATCTATACCATTTTCAGCACATTGGTTGATTTCCAAAGCCCAATTGCTGGAGTCTTCCTTAAAATTGCCCATCTATACCAGGGGCGGACTGACCATTTGGAAACTCTTCCATGAAATTGCCCGCCTATACCATTTTCAGCACACTGGTCGATTTCCAAAGCCCAGTTTCTGGAATCTTCCTTGAAATTGCCCGTCTATACCATTTTCGGCACATTGGTCGATTTCCAAAGCCCAGTTTCTGGAATCTTCCTTGAAATTGCCCGCCTATATCATTTTCAGCACATTGGTCGATTTCCAAAGCCCAGTTTCTGGAATCTTCCTTGAAATTGCCCGTCTATATCATTGAAATTGCCCGCCTATACCATTTTCAGCACATCGGTCGATTTCCAAAGCCCAGTTTCTGGAATCTTCCTTGAAATTGCCCGTCTATATCATTGAAATTGCCCGCCTATACCATTTTCAGCACATCGGTCGATTTCCAAAGCCCAGTTTCTGGAATCTTCCTTGAAATTGCCCGTCTATATCATTGAAATTGCCCGCCTATACCATTTTCAGCACATCGGTCGATTTCCAAAGCCCAGTTTCTGGAATCTTCCTTGAAATTGCCCATCTATACCATTTTCAGCTTTCTGAAGTCCTACTTTACAGCACAGTTCCCACAACAGCACCCTATATTCCAGATGAGGCCGCAATATATTCTATTGTATTGTGAAGGACTATGCAATATATGATGTATAAACCTGGAATGATAATAATGGTGATGGTAATAATACTAATATTTTTATTATACGCTATATTCGACTTGTGTGTGTAGTTTGAAGTGCAGTCACACTATTTTAAACCCTGTTGTAGAGGAGTTACCTTCATTTAACCCTGGGTGGAAAAATTGTAATAACAATATATGTGATATTTTTCCCCTGTGGAAATTGCACTGCTTGCGGCAAATCACCATTGCTGAAAATTGCCCTCGTTTTCACAGTACGCACGATCAGGGAAAAAAAAAAATCATATATTATTATGGGTGAACGCCACGGTGACCTGCGTGCCTGGAATGGGCTGTAATTTTTGTGCCGGTTACAGTGAATTTCAATTTAAAGCTGGATTCCAGGCAGCTATAACGTATATAAATTAGTGCAGCTCGGTATTTATTAATCCATCATTACATGTAGTTTTTTATAATGCGACTTTGAGTATCCAAATGTGACATCCATCATCCATCAATGCAATTCCTGTACAGCAGACCTCAAACTGGGGAAAGGAGAAGCAGCACTAGGAGCCGGTCAGTGCTGCAAGGCCAAATAGGAGCATGCGGATAGGAGGGCAGGAGGACAGAGAGACAACTTCATCAGGCTGCTGCTACTTTTACTGTCCAGTTACAGGATGAGATCTATTAGTAGGACCTTTCATATTTTTTCTCCTGATGGTGGTGGTGGGTTGGGGGGGTCAGTCTGTGGTACTTGAAGGGAAACTAGCTCCCAGTGGGAGGGACTTAAAACCTGTTCCTACTCACTGTGTACATGGTAACATATGGTACAGTCTTGTGCCCAAAAAATATTATTTTATTATAACGCCACAAGCAAGAGTCTAATTGGGATCATGCATGCATAATGCACAGAATGCAGGGGTCAGGGGTGTGAAATGGAGATTGCAGCAGTCAGTAACATGCAGGCATCAGAAGTGCAAAATGCACAGAGAGCAGGGCTCAGTAATGCAAAGAGTGCAGGGGTCAGTAATGCACAGTGCACAGGGATCAGAAGTACAAAATGCACAGAGTGCAGGGGTCAGGAATGTATAATGCACAAAGTGTAGGGGTCAGAAATGCAAAGCGCTCAGGGGTCAGGAGTGCGAAACGCAAAGAGTGCAGGGGTCAGTAATACACAGAGTGCAGGGGTCAGGAGCGCATAATGCACAGAAGGCAGGGGTCAGTAAGGCATAGAGTGCAGGGGCCAGTAAGTGTATAATGCATAGTGCAGGGGCCAGAAGTGTATAATGCATAGCGTGCAGGGGCCAGAAGTGTATAATGCATAGCGTGCAGGGGCCAGAAGTGTATAATGCACAGAGTGCAGGAGTCAGTAATGCACAAAGTGTAGGGGTCAGGAGTGTATAATGCATAGAGTGCAGGGGTCAGTAATACACAGAGTGCAGACATCACGAGTGCATAGTGCACAGAGGGCAGGTGACAGTAATGCAGGGGGTGTCTAATGCACTGAGTTCAGGTGTCCAGAGTGCAAAATGCACAGAGTGCAGGGCTCAGTAATACAAAGAATGCAGGGGTCAAGAGTGTGAAACACACAGCACAGGGGTCAGTAATGCACAGAGCTTAAGGATCAGAAGTGCGAAATTCACAGAATGCAGGGGGCCAGGAGTGTATAATGCACAGAGTGCAAGGGTCAGTAATACACAGAATGCCAGGAGTCAAGAGTGTGTAATGCAAAGAGTCAGGGGCCAGGGTTATGTGTGACGAACAGAGTGCAGGGGCCAGGGGTATGTGATGAACAGAGTGCAGGGGCCAGGGGTATGTGATGAACAGAGTGCAGGGGTCAGAAGTGCCAAATGCACAGCGTGCAGGGCTCAGTAATGCACAGACTGCAGGGGACAGTAATGTACTGAGTTCAGGAGCCAGGGGTGTGTAACTCACAGAGTGCAGGGGTGAGTAATGTGCAGAGCGCAGTAATACACAGAGTGCAGAATAGAGGAATACTTAATGCACAGAACGCAGGTATCAGTAATGCACAGGGGGGTCATGAGTGTGTAATGCACAGGTCAGTAGACAGAGTACAACAAAAAATTACCTCCTGACCCAAGCCGAAATCTCCCCAGTATATCTTTTCCCCCAAACTAGTATTGTAACAGAACCAACCCTGTCTGCGCTTGGGTACTTTCGTTAGAGTACCACTTCCCCATCCGAACACCGACAACAGACACCACCGATGACCATACAAGACTAGACGACACCAGTCTGTCTGAACATGGAACTCTTTATTTGAAACTCGAACTGGCTTTTTATACACTCGGGACAATTCCCCCTCCCTGCATAATGACTCAGGGTGGTTCAATCTACACTTAGCAACAAGATACACAGGTATTCAAATTTCACACCAGCAGACAGTCCCATCAGTAGGGAGGGCTGCTAGAGACACCCCCCACCACTAAGCTAATACACATAGACA